GGGAACTGCAGTAGCATAGGAAAAGTAAGCTAGAAGAAAAGTAATAAACCTTACAGAGAGAACTATAGGCAACTGAGTAAAGCTAGGAGCAGAAGACAAGCTCCTTAGGGACAAACATACCAATTGGTTGTCTAGTGTTTAACAGTCAACCCAGAAAACATACATACAAATAACATTATATTTACACAATAGGCCTATACATATATACATATTCCTAAATATAAATATTTCTAAAAGAACACAAATATATCTTTATCTAGGAGAGAGGGGAAAGGAGCCTGGATCTATAGGCAATAATGCTATGCCCATTGTGTATTCTCATAGTAAACAGTAAGGTCTTCTGTAATTAGGATTCCACATCTGTAAGAATAACTGGAACTACCAGCAATATATATATTTTCATATATATATATATATATATATATATGAAAAAGATGCCATGAATTCAAAGGAGAGTGAAGACAAGTATGTGGAAAGGGAAGACAGAAATGTTGTAATTAAAATACAACCTCAAAAATAAATAAAAACAAAACAATAACAGCAATGACAAAAAAGTGTGGCAGTGTCAAAAGAGAAGACACAGAACTCAGTAGAACAGAATGGAGATGCCAGAAATAGGCTTAAGTAGGTCAACATGATTTCAGACACAGGTACAAAAACAATTCTATGAAAACAGCTTTGCAAAACAAATGGTGCTGGAGAAATTGAAATTTCTTGTGCAAAAATGAGGCAGAAGAAGAAAAGAAATAGAGCTTAAGTCTCACACCTTATACCAACAATGTAACAAAAACAGAAGTTAGATTTACACTGAAAACAAAGCCCATAACATATAGAAAATTGGAGAATCTCTGGGATTCAAAGATAAGCAAAGAAATCTTAGACATGACACCAAAAGCATAGATCATTAAAGAAAATCAACAAAGTGGACCTTTTCAAAAGTAAAAACTTTTGATCTATGAAGGAGTTCCAAGAAAATGCAAAAACTGGGAGAAAATATTTGCAAACAACATATCATATTCACAACAAAAGACTAGTGAATGGATAGAGAATATAGAAAGAATTTTCAAAACTGAACAGTAAAGATGTAAACACTCCAAACAATCCAGTTAGATACAGAGACATGCTATTAGAAAGGATCTATGAATGATTAATAAACATGAAAAAACCATTATTCACTAAATAAATGCAAATTAAAACCTCAGGGCAATATCAATATATCCCTCAGAATGTCTAATGTATGAAATGACTACACCAAGTGCTGAAGAAGGTGGAAAGAAACCAGAACTCTTACACATTGCTTGGGGAAATGCAAAAATGCTGACATACTGTAACATACTAGTTTATAGTAAGAGTAATATCCTACTTTCTGTGTAAAGAAAGGATTACTGAGCATTTGACTCTGCAACTTCACTTCCTTGTTTACTTAAGGAAAATGAAAACCTGGGTTCACACACAATCTTATACACTAATGCTTAAAGTACCTCTATTCCCAATTGTCAAAAATTGGATCTCTGTGTGAATAGTGGAATTAATGTGTTTCTCTCTGTATAAG